TTTTTTTATTAAATAGCAATTAAACAGAAATCAATCTTTACTTCTTACATTTATTCTGATTCAGGAGAAAAATCCTCTATTGCAAATTTGATATCAATTATTTCACTAGTTTTTTTTTCCAAAATATTATCCAAATTCCCATATTTCTTTATTCTATTTTAGTTATGTATCATATCGATTAGCTCCTATTTTCAATTGACACGCAATTAATGTCCTTTGCAATCAAGCTTTTTACTTCTGTTGGTTTACTGGTTGGAAATAAAGCTTTTTGATAATATTTTAAATCGCAATTTAGAAAAGTTTTTCTCAAAAGCATATACCTAAGTACCACGCTAGTATATAGAATGTGTAAAGCACTAATAGCGAAAATAAAATTACTATTTCATCCTCTGTGACGATACATTAGTCTAAACAAAAGTTGAAAAATACTTACATTTATATATATATATATATATATATATATATATATATATATATATAAATGTAAGTATTTTTCAACTTTTGTTTAGACTAATGTATCGTCACAGAGGATGAAATAGTAATTTTATTTTCGCTATTAGTGCTTTACACATTCTATATACTAGCGTGGTACTTAGGTATATGCTTTTGAGAAAAACTTTTCTAAATTGCGATTTAAAATATTATCAAAAAGCTTTATTTCCAACCAGTAAACCAACAGAAGTAAAAAGCTTGATTGCAAAGGACATTAATTGCGTGTCAATTGAAAATAGGAGCTAATCGATATGATACATAACTAAAATAGAATAAAGAAATATGGGAATTTGGATAATATTTTGGAAAAAAAAACTAGTGAAATAATTGATATCAAATTTGCAATAGAGGATTTTTCTCCTGAATCAGAATAAATGTAAGAAGTAAAGATTGATTTCTGTTTAATTGCTATTTAATAAAAAAAAGGTATAATCCAATTAATGACTAAATAAATGACTTTGTTAAAATTCGATTTCCTTTGAACTGTTCGACCGATTTCATCTGAAATTCGTATTTTGCCATATAATTTTTTTTTAATTGTGGACACTTGGGGGTTGTCCCATTGGCCACAGAAATGCCAGAACTGCTACTCTCTTCTCGTTACCCAGTGGGCACCTGTGGTGAAGTCACTGCGGTGGAGCAGCGTCGCCCACGTCACACAACCTAAAAAACTCGTTTATGGGGCTGGTCACATTCACACCCAAAGGAGAAAGGACATAGAACACAGAGAGAAAGAAACATCCATGCCCTGAGCAGGATTCGAACCCGCGACCAGCGGCTCCGCAGTCAGGCACGCTAACCACTCGGCCACCAGGTCCGAAACCATATAAAAACACATTCTTTAAAATTTTTAAAACTTTATATTTCAATTCAAAATTTTTTCAACTATTGATAAAGAAAATTAAAAAAAAATAATTAAAATTATTTTTTGTCTTGGGATTAAAGATGGATACATGAATTTTATAATTGCGTGCAAAAATTTTTCAATTCGATTGAAAACTTCTCAAGATACGGCGAAATACGCAAAAAGTAAAATTAGCACTAAGGGGTCCAAACTTTTGGCTGCTCTCCTGTACAAACTGTGAGATTTAGGAATCCAAATACGTCGACAAAAAGGTATGTTTATTTAAAGAAAGTACGTCATTACTCAAGATATCGCATGAACATGAACATTTGTAACATGATTTCGTACTTAGAAACAAGTATGGTCAAAACATGGTAAAATTTACCGTGTTTTTGGCTTTTTGAGAACACCTAAAAGCTGGGTAATTTTTACTGAAGCACTTTAGTAACGATTTCGGGAAAATTAACAATAAAATATGGTTTTATAATATTTGATGAAATTTGATAACTGTAGTAAAGTATGGTAG